GGTGTATATAGGGTTGCTCTGGAAGTTGCTGGGGGCCGCGCTGCTTTAGATGTATTGTGGTCACTCCCATCTTCTGAGTGGAAACGAAAGGTTTCTATTTTCTGGTTTGGTGCCTGACAGCTGGTGCCATTCATGCCCATGTGTCACCGAACACGAGGCTTTGAGTGAGTGAGTCACGTCTTTGGAGGTCGCGATAAATGCTTGGGTTAGCCTAAAATTTCAGGTATTTGGCATGAAAGTTGTCAGCACTTGATCATGGAACCGTTTCAGCGTGCTTGCCTACAAATAAACCAGGTCTGGCAGCTGATTGCCGGCCCCTGTACGGATTTCTTGTGAGATTTTAACGTAAGATTATTAAGTTCCAAATAAACCAGGTCTGCGCGTGCTAATTGTCAGCATCTCTTGTAGGCAGCCCCTAGGATCCTTGGTAAGGTTCATAATAAATAAATGAACCAGGTCAGCCGACTGCCCCTGTAGGCCTCGCCGTGGGCCGTGGATTTTTCCCAGCCGTGGACTTTTCCTGCCTTGGACTTTCGCAGTGTGCCACGGGTCGCTTTGGAGTTTGGCTTCTCGTCATACCTCGCACTGGGACCGCGGATTGGCCGGAAAAGGTGCGACACAATTTTTTTTTGTTGGCAGCTTTGAATTTTCATGTAAATTTTGAAGAATGAAAACAAACCAGGTCGGCATGGTTCTTGTTGGCCTCTCTTGTAGGGTTTGGGTTCGAATTAAAAAGAGAAATCCAACAGCATACCAATGAACCAGGCCTGGCAGCTGATTGTTGGCATTTTTTAAAGCACATTTTGTAAGATTTGATACCAAATCCATAAAATCCAGATCCAGGTCCGGAAAACTCAGTGTGGGCCTTTGTTTGGGAGTAGAATCCTAATGCAGTGCCGGTCGCAACCCTTTCCCCTTGCTCGCTCGTGTACCCCAAATGGAGGAGAGGCAACAGGGCACACAGGCGAGCCAGGGGAAAGGGTTGTGACCAGCACTTTGTTAGAGTTGTACTTTCAAGAGAGGCCGACAATCAGCTGTCAGGCCTCATTTATATTTATTATGATTTTACTGGGTTTCTATTAGAATCCTACCAAATGCCCCAAAGAGAGGCCAACAATCAGCGCAGACTTGGTTTACTGGTAAGTTTTTGGATTTCAATTCGGAATCTAAGCCCAAACCCTGCAAGAGAGGCCCACATTGCCTGGTTTACTTAGATTTTTAAAAGACTAGTATGAATCTTACCACCAATCAGCTTTCTCAACCACGCATGGGTTTGTTTGTTTGCTTGCAGCCATTTTACCATGTGGGGTTTCGGAAGGACGGCAACACAGCAGAATTTGCACAAACCTGCACCCACAATCGGGCAACCTTTGCCCGCATGCGCGCCGATACAGACAGACGGGTGCGCGCGCACACCCAGAACAAACGCTGCCGCATTGCAAGCTGCGTTCAGGCACGTGCCTTTACGCAGGTGTGCGGGTCGGGGAGGCAAGGTACTCTGCCCAACAATTGCGTGCACTCGATGCGCTGGCAAACGTTGGGCTGGCCCGCCCACCACCTTGCCCGAAGAAACAGCCGTCCACGACCCCATCGGTTGCTGACACGGACGAGGAGGAAGTGACTGATGCAGGCAGAGTCCCACCCGGCGAAATCGCGCCGTTCCGTCATTTGCCAGCCGCATGCCATAGCCTGCCTTGAGCGCGTGGACTGGACTTGGTTTGGGACCGTTCCGCTTGACGGCAAAAAGGTCCGGGAAACAAAACTCCTTGTGCCTCCCACCGCAGTGGACAGCCGCTGATTGCTGACATTGCCACGCCCAAAATGTAGCTGATGAATTCACTTTGGAACTTGGTAAGACAATGGCCTTGAATCATTGGAGATTGAATGGTTGCGTATGGTGTCGCATGCTTTGATGTCAAATGCCTGACATCCAATCTTGTGGTTTCACGTTGTTTGCGCATTAGAACGAGCGCTCGCGTGTCGAATCGTGGCAAATGCACGGCCTGCATACACATGACACATTAACGGCAAATACCTGACCGCATCACTTTCAATTGTGACACCGCGCCTGACAGATGCATGCCACAATCCACGTTTGAGCTCGGGTGTAACATGCAACACCCACAATACAAGTTCAGGAGGCCTTATATGCAAAAAGTTGAGATCCGAACCAAAAACCACGTGCACTACCATGCACTACCCATATCCACCCATCACGTCATGTTTTCGTGCACTTTCGCGCATGCTTTTTTGTGGATGTGAGAGCGAAGGTTTTTATTGATGAAATTGCTGCGGGGGTTTGACGTGGATAATTTTGTCGATTCGTTTGCACTTATTGTTGTTCAAATAAACATGGCAACAGGTCAGCAGCCGAAGCCCTAGTCCTTGCAGCCCTCGGCGGTGTGTGGTGAGCCAATCAAAGTTGGACACTCCGCAGGCATCTGGGTTGCATATGGTTGCATCAAAATTTCCTGTGCTTTTTGCTGGCTGGATGCCACAGGGCGCAGGCAGCTTGCCAATGACGAATTGGAAGCAGGCAACTGGATCCAATCAGATTTGCCATGCGCGGGACATGTCATGTGAACTACTGTGAATATTCGCCTTATTAAGGGAACGTTCATACTGGACACGCAAGTCCTCTCGTGTTTAGCGCAATGCCTCGTATATTGTTCAGGAAAGGAAACATGTCGATTCAACGAAGCAGGACATATTGACTGTAGCTCCTGTGATTCTTGACCCGTCGCATCTGCCATGTGGTGCATGTAACGCTTGTGATGTTTCAATCATGCTAGTGGGGTATGAAACCACCTGACGCATCAAGAGGATCCAGAACCCAATTACAATCATTGCCCAGGCCAGCAGCAGTGGCCCTGGTTCCAATGGCGACGTCAGCGGTGGTACTCCTCGGAGTACTGCCCGGCACGAACCCGCGCTGAGTGCGCAGAGCCAATCCAAGAAGGCTGCTGGAAGTCGTCCAATATGAAAGCTTTCGTGCTTGGTGACAATTCTGTAGTGACCGCATGCGGTCGAGCGCGTCGTTTGCAGGTGAACCCGCACGAGCTCATCCGCAGCAGAAGCCACAGCCCATGGAAATGTCCGTGGAGTGCGCACGCCACACCGAAGGTTAGTGCCCAAGCGGCTGCCGGGCCGCACGCAGGTCAGGTTTGCAATTGTTGTCAGGCAATGGATGGGTTGCCTCGTCGATGCATCTTGATTTGGACACGTTGAAGATGATCAAATGCGATGCTTGTTTTCCAGGAAGCTGGCTGCAGCAGAAGCGCCAGCCCGAGCAAATCCCAGAGGAGTGCCCATGGCCACGTGAAAGGCACAACCAGACAGGTGGCTGGGGTTTGTCATGGTTTGTCAAGCGTGGGAAATGCAATGCGCGTTGTTATGCCAAAGCTCACGTGATTGCATGGCATTGGGCGCGTGACTTGCAGGCAACGGATGCTTCGGGAGGGTTGCACACAGCCAGCCGCAGCAGAAGCTCGAGCCCGGGCAAATCCCGGCACAGTCCTNNAGCCCAGCCGCAGCCGAAGCCACAGCCCCAAATCATCAAGTGGGGCAAGAAGCCAGCCAAAGGCCAATGCAAAAAAGGCCGGTCCAGAGAAAGGATTGAGCGTTTTCTGCTGCGACGTGGTTTGCCGAGTTGGACAGTTGGATTTTAGATTTGGCAGGCAGTAATTTTCACTTCGTATCAATGAACCGCCCCTCCCCCGCCTCGATTGATCTATCCCCGTTCTGGGGAAGCCCCGGAATATTAATACCCAAAACGTCGTAGTCTGAACGCTAATTAAAATCTACTTAGAACTGTTGCCCTGGCAAGACTCATACGTTTTTGGGATTTTACAAATGTGGGGGTTATTATAATTGTGTTCNNGGCGGCGGGATTTTATAAATGTGGGAGTAGTTCTTAATGTCAACACTAGTGGGCAAGATGCCAAAGCCGGCTGAGACACGTTGAGGGCACAGCTCGATGTCAGTGATTGCAACAGCTTAAATTTGGGCCCGTAAATCCTTATAGAGGAGCCACAGAGGAGCATGTTCCAGTGTGAAATCTCCAAACATTTTACATGAATTGAAGAGCTAATTACTTGAGCTGACAAGTTAGAGGTGAATGCAAGACAATGTTCAATCTTCACGGAATGAAAAAGCAAGCGCAGGTGACACAGGGTGTTACAACTCCACGGGCGGCCCGCAGTCAAAGCTTGGGCCATGGAAAATCGCAGCAGGTGTGCCAACATGAATCACAAGCAAGGACTGTCATGGCCTTAGTTTGGCATGGTTTGTCAGCCATTCATGGCGTTGCCAGATGTTATCCATGGAGCTCACGCTGGACGTTCACAAGCTTTCATCTGAATAGAGCCTGTAAATGATGTTGACTTGGATAGACGTTGACCATGCTCAGGATGCTCAAATTTTGAATTTTCCACATGTCGAGCACTTCTAAATTTAGAGGACGCCTCGCAGCTCATTTCCGACATAGATGGGAAGTTATGTTTTGCTGCCAACGCAGTTGCTAGCTTTGTTTCGGATGCCCGAAAATATCAAATGTGCAGCCAGGCATGGCCCATGGCAGCCTGGCACTGGCAGCAGCAGTGGGGGAAAGAGTCAGGAGGATGAGGGGAAACCTGGTAGCACTCGCAGTAGTCATGCTGCAGCAGTGTGGCAGCAGCAGCAGCCACCGCCTGAAGAGTGGGAGCATCAGTCATCAGAGGTTGGTCATCACTGCAGCAACGGCAAACACAAGCACAGATGGAAACAGAAGGTCGTGCTTTTGAAAAGCTCCCCCCCAACTCCGCAAAGGAACTATGCCAAGCACTTTGGAAAATGCTTGAGTGATGCCCAAGTCATCCTACGTGTTGTGCATTTTCGAGCCTGAGGCGAATGCCACAAAGAGTGAAAGCAGAAGAAGGTTGCAAGTCAAGCTCTGGGCCTGGCGTTTCTATGCTGTTTGTTTCCGTGTTCGTCGTGCAGTCTGAGATCAAGCTTGCTTGCAGGCCACAGCGAACAACTTGCTTTTCACAGGTTGGCTGGGCAGTTGAGTTGAGAATTGTGGTTGCGTAATCCTGGGCGCAGGGTGCCGCTCCACGAAGCTGCCGGAGTTTGACAAATCAGCAATTGACGGTCTCTTCCTTATCTTCTTCCTTTTCCGGCAGCCATGTGTGTATGTATACGCAAGGTTTTTGCAGCCAGCTGAGGTGTTTGATCGTTTGCATGGTCAACACAGCCGTAAACTGCAAGACTTGCAGGACCTCCTCTCAACAACTGAAGGCAAGCAACGTTCTTTTGGGTATGAGGAAGGTGCACGAAGCTAAAATAATCCAAACAAATCAATTCAAGGGGTTCATCTCAACTTAGAGTGCATGCGGTCCAAAGGAGTTAGTCGCTCTGTGTTTCTGTAGCAATTGCGGTGGATTTGTTTGGTGCCCTGAGTGCATCTAAGCCTCGGAGCAAGCCCCTCTATCGCGGGTCTTATACGGACTGCTATTTCGGGCCTGGTGGCACAGGCCGGCCTGGCCGTCCCTCTTCAAAACGGAGTGCAGATGCACCAAATCATGACACGACTCTGTAAAAGACATGTTCTTGCTGCTTTCAATGGTTTCTTGGGGGTATAGGGTCTCCTTGTCCCTAATTCAGCCTGCAGGCGCACTTCTCATATGCAGGCATCATCAGCACAACTGGGGTCCCATTTTTACTGGCACCAGGAGTGGTTAAAACCACAGGAAGACCATCAAAAAGGACCTTCAGCATAATTTTCCGCGCAGTCTAGCCACATGTACCCTTTAGCAAGTGAGAAGCAGCGTTTGCAAAGTTTTCGAGAGGCAAATAGGTGTACGATCTTAGCATTGGAATTTGGCTCGCGTAATGCATGACCAAACCTTTCGCATGTCATGCAGGTGCTGTCAATGCTTGTATTTTCAGTTTACAGCTTGAAACTCCGCCCAAAGTGCGTGTTTTGAGCGTTTTGTTGGGGTTTATCGCGCATTTTCAGCTCCCAGCCGGTCCCAACAGCCAGCATCATGAGCATCATGGGGCCTGTTTGGGCCCCCAATGTCCTTCTTGACATCGGCCATATGAGGTCCCAACTCCCCTCCAAAACCTCAGGTATGTTGAGGTGTCCAAAGGTAAGACACTGATGATGCTGGGCTGAAAAACTAACTGCCCTCCAAACCCTCTGAAGATAGGGGGCCCCTTAAAAAGTACTAAGGGGAGGGGGGGTACGTTAAAGCACGTTCTTTTCAAGTTCTTTTCCTTAAAAGGGGAGGGGGGGCCCCCCCTCCAAGTACATTTCAGCTAAGGCCTCGCCAGGGGGGGTACCCCCCCCTAAGTACATTTTAGGTAAGGGCGGCACGCCAGTTGAACCATGACCCACCTCGGAACAAGTAACAGTGGTAACAAAGGAATCACAGTAACAGTAGTAGCAGAATAGTATTATTATTATTATCATTAGTAGTAGTAGGAGTAGTAGGAATCGGGAAGTAAGTGATAGTAGCAACAGTTGAAGTGGTAATCATGGTTCCAAGCATTAGTCATAGGTAATATATGTAGTGCATGTGGTATTAGTAGTAATAGTAGTAGTAAAAGTAGGAAGAGTGGTATTATTAGGAATGGTGGCAACAGTAGGTATCTGCAGAGATGTAGTCGTAATAGTATCATTAGCAGTTTTTACTACATGTAGTAATAGTATTAATCGCTAATGATAATAACGCTAGCAGCACCACGGCTAATGATATTAGAAATGGTAGTCATAGTGGTGATAATAATAATATGAATAGCGCAAAGAATGGTAACACGACCAATGCACGGACCCGGGTTGGGCCCGTTGACAACTTCTGTGCCTCTGTGACTGTTGCTATATGTGTTTTGGGGTTTAGGGTTTGGGCTTAGTGTTGAAGGTTTATGGGGTTCCATAACCGTAGGTTCCGCATAGCCCAAAGTGACGCGGACCCGGGTTGGGGCTATCGTGGGGGCTCTTTAATGTACACCCAACAGCCTTTACTACACAAGTCTTGCTTCCGAACAGCCTGAATGGTCCCAAGTACTCACAATACTGAAATCCCGTCCAGAACCTGGGACCATTCATGGGAAACCCTTCCATGTTTCTGGATTTTTGCCGTATTAGTGTTGACAGTTTGTGGGGTTCCATAACCGTATAGTGTATACACCTACTCTAGGGCCATGCGCTTGGAGTCTGAACCCTACACGCTGTATTGTGTACACACCTACTCTAGGGCTATGGGCTTGGAGTCTAAACCTTACACGCTGTATAGTGTAAACACCTTCTCTCGGACCATGGGCTTGGAGTCTCAACCCTACACGCTGTATAGTGTATACGTCACACCTACTCTAGGGCCACGGGCTTGGAGCCAGAGAAATCAAGTTCTTTTCTTCCGGAACCAGCCGTAAAAGTACTCGCGGAAAAGGTCCCTCCCCCCCCCTAAGGAACCCCTGAAGCCTGGCAGGAAGACTCAAAAGTGCGTCCAAAACATGCCTTGAGTTTTGATCCCCAAGCTCATTTCCTGCCAGGAGTCGGCAGCTTTGGCGTCTCCCCCACAAAGCATAGCCTCATAGCTCTAGGTGTGCATCCGCACTGGACCAGGACGGCCAGGCCGGACTTCAAAAGCCTTCCGCTCAAGCCGCCGGCCCCAGAGGCAGTCAGGCTCTCCCTTGGCATTCGTAGTCGTAGCACAAGACATCTAAGGCAGACGGAAGCCAGTTTCACGCTGGCGCAGCTGATGCTGCAGCACCGCGATCAAATCGACGACGTTGCGTTCTGGTCGAAATATTGTCGCGCCGTCTATGTTTTCAGGGGTCCGGGACGAGACCAGCTGTCGCAGACGCGAGAAGATCAACCAGGCTGCCCCAGACCTTCCAAAGAAGCAGACTGCGGCCAGTGCCCCCCGCAACCTCTGGAACTCGGTTTTAGAGAAACCCGGCAAAGCCTTGTGGATGGTTGGAAGTTGGCTCGGCCGCCCTGTAATTAAGGGAGAAAGAAGAGCCCCAATGGTCGGCGGATATCAGGTCAAAGTCATTCAGGATTGGTTGAATTCCGGCACAAATACTCATATGACACGACATTGTTTTGCTTGCCGTGCTGTAGCGGCCGTTAGCTGGGAGTAGCGAGGGTCGCAGTTCTGCTGAGCAAAGTGTAGCTAGCATCTGTCGACAAATGACTTGCGTTTTCAGATCCCACCGGGATTCCGGATCCTCATCATGGCACTGCCCCCATCTCAGCGTGGACAGCCCGCCATTTTTCAGCTCTCAGTGGACAATTCCAGGGTTGCTGTACCTGCCAAAGATGCTGCGGCACTGGCGTGTAATTTTGGAAATTAGGAGCGGGTTTGTGTGCCTGGCGCGGTTCTGTCAAATCTGCACCCAAGCTTGTTGCAGCATGACAGCCCTTCTCTCTTCAACGCTTCAGTTTTGGCATGCGAACTTCCGGGCTACGTCGTCCAATTTGAGTTCCCAAGAAGATTGCAGAATCGATCAATGACTTTACATGCTCCCATTTCAGCTTTACATCCTCCCGCTCTAGCAGCTGAAATGATGACGCACATGTAGGACATGTGGGTAGTTAAGCGGTGGGGCTGAGGGTAGGGGTCTCTCCAAGCCTTCAGTTCCTACAGCGAGGAGCGGGCAGCTGCTGCAGAAGAGGAGAGGCAAGAGCGAGCTCAAGAACTCCAAAGCAGAACCGCCTCTTGGCAAATCTTGGCATGGCATTTGTTCTTGTCGCAGGTTGTGACATGTGGCAAATTGTGAGTTGGATGCTGTGGAGGTTTGCGTAAGATCCGCGGCGGCTGCGCAGGCTGCTGGCCAGCGCCTCTATGACAATCGGAAGGCAAAGAAAACCAAGGCTTTCGGTGCGGACACGGCGGACACGATGGAGGCGATGGAGGCGAAGGCAGAGATGCAGGCTGCGCTGATGCGAGCGCATGCGGAGGTTCGTTCACTCCCTGGTGCAGAGCCGCGGTGGGAACAGCTCTATGCTGCTGCACAGCGTCAGCAGGAGCGTGTACAACACCGCCGCTTTTTGCAGGAGATGGAAGAAGAGCAGTGGCTCAAAGACCACTCGCTACACCAGGGCAACTTGCACGAGGATGCCTATGCGCGCTTGTATGAGGATGCGAAGCAGCGAAGTCGGCGTCTCTACGCGAAAGAGCAAGCGCAACTTGCAGCTGAAGCACGGCAACTGTCAGGGGCCTGCGTCCACAACACCTATTCTGGAAGCTTGGGCTCGGAAATAGCGACTCAGAGAGCACGCTGTCTGTACGAGGACGCGCAGCAGCGGCGGGAGAGGCTTGCTGCGAAGAGAGAGCTGCAGAATGATACTGTTCAGCGAGCTGCAGCAGCACCCAACAGTTCAAGAGTAGGCAGTTGCAACATGGCAGCCTCCTCTATCCCAAATCGTGTAATCACCACATCACCGCCAGCCATGGCGGTCGGCCTCTTGCGGCAGTCAAAAGAGCGGCCAAACCCGGTTGTCATGTCAGAACTGTTAATGTCCCGCACCACTTCCTGGCGACCGACCAGCAGTTAATGCAGAGCTCAGCGACTGTGCTATGCTGCGCTGAGGCGCGGGAAGGCGAAGTGCCCCCAGCAAGCGTGGAATCACGCTGCTGCAAAGTGCAGGGAACGTGGAAGCTGAGTGCGCTGCCGTAAGTCTGTGCAGAGAGCAGCCCACTGTGCGGAGCTGATCAAGAGGAAAAGTAAACGGAAGTAGTATCGTATGTCCTAGGTCCTAGATGGGGGGAAAGGTCGATGGATTACAAGCACATTCTTCTTTCGGCAACATGTAGAGTCGCCCGCGGAAATGCTTGCATGAGAGAGCTTCGTGGGGTCCGCCGTTCATTGGGGATGGTTGTTCCAAAGTAGAACAAAGAAATAAGGAATAAGGCCGCACTGGCAGAGCGTTTGCGCTCAGGCTGTTGCAATTCCATCTAGGTGTTGTCTGCATGTTGGGTTAGCATGAGTAGCAAGATGCTTGCATGATCAGGTGCCTTGTTGCAGCCCTTGATCCGCCCAAACTTCTCCCAAGAAGTGTTCAGGGTAGGGCCGTCGAGAGCAGATCAGGGACAAACCGGGCACAATGAAGTTGCATCGTGGAATGCTATGGCTGCATGTTATCTGTGTTATGGGTGTGCAGCCCACGCAAGTCCAACGTTTGGGACGTTGGGCATGTTCAGCTGGAAATGCGTGCTATTGCCATTGTGGTGTTGCCGCACCGCGGGACGTCAGCCTGGTGCAAGTCGCCAGAGAGACTCCATTTCCGCCATTGCCGCCTCCCGCACTTCCCCCCTATCCACCGGCACGACTTCCAGCCATGCCAACCTTCACCAGCATGACAGAAGATGATCTACCAACCTTGGGACCACCACCGCCAACGACCCCTCTGCCCACACTGCCACCAACTCCAGCTCCTATGACCTATCCATTTTCACCTAAGGCTCAGGCCAACATGTTGCGCGGCAAGCCTGGCGCTGTTGAGGAGCAAAATTATCACCAGTACACCTTTCAGCCTCGTGCCTTGTTTGCGAAAGGAGAATTAGCTTGTCGAGATTTATGAGGGCAGACACTGAATCACATTTTTTAATCACTTGATCGATTTTCCCATCTCAGGTACGGGTGCGTATGGATTGGCAACCTCAAGCACCTCATCTCCGCCTGAGCCAGGCTCGAGCAAGGAGGCCTTGCTTCAGGAAGTCGCTCAGGAAGGACGTCCCTGCCGTTGCGAATGACAGAGCAGCGGATGCCGATCAACTGTGCAAAACTGGCGTTCTGCACTGTACACCATCCAAACCGTCACTAGCCTATTGTAGCTGCTTGCATTCGTGGCTCATTCCATGCAAGCGCCGCCAGCTTGGCTTGTCATACTATGCGTTGCTGCGCGCTCATGAAGTTAACTACTCCCAACCAAACACGCACTTGCAGCTTTGCATCTACCTCTACCAAGACTCACCTGCAGCAGTAAACAAGCCATACCCATCAGCTTCTTTCTGTACTGCGAATGGCCCCATCAAGGGCCGGCCGACGCAAAAAGGCCGGCAAATGGGGATGGGATGGGCCACAGGCATGCCAAGCATTTGCGCTGGTTCGGCAGGATTATGACGTGGTCATTCAAGGGCAGTCAGTGGAGAAGATTTCTCTTGAGATTGCAGGGCACTCAGTCGTAAGTCAACGGAATGTTGCGCGTGCTGCCCGCTGTGTCAGCTTGACCTTGTTGCTTCTGCAGGTCACCCAAATAGCAGCCAAAGGGTTCTGCACAATCGATCCCAAATTAGATGATGAGATGTTACGTCTTGCCCGTGAGGACGAATGCTCAAGCCAAGCCATCATGCAAGAAGCATTCAATATTTTTCAATATATCGAGAATGCTGAATTGATCTGACGCTTGCCCGGTTCGCAGGACATCAGCGACTTAGATGCCCAGAGCACACTGAGACAACCGCCAGCAATGGTCACTTGACAGGATTATGTGCCCTATGCAGCGTGTTGATATTTGAGCACTTTTGGTTCGATTTGCTTGCCACTAGGTTTTTAGATGTTTTTAGATTGTCCACAGATTCCAGATCCCCATACTTATCCAAGAGGCGGCACACTTGCAGCCCTTTAGTCAGGGCGAAGCTTTATTACTTACCGTAATATTAATATCCATTTTTGACCAAGTATATAACGTGCCCAAAGTCCCGCTTCTATTCAAGTCAACGAGTTGTTTGTATTCCAGGGCGTGTGTCACTTTGCATGTGCAGCTCATTGCCGCTCAGAAAGATGCCGCAGGAATGCCAGGATTACAATGTTGCCGGCATAGCGCAGCTGAGGTCCACGATGGCTTGCTTGGCGAAGAAGGCTCTTCATTGATTGCTGACTTTCTGCAGGACAGCCATGTGCTCTGTTAGCTGTGGTGCTTGAACATGTGAAAGCCGTAGTTCAAAGTGACAAAATGCCAACTTGAGCAGGACCGTGCCGGAACCATAGGAAGGTTTTACAGGCTTAGACTGCACAGACTCCAATCGCTATCAACATTGGTTGGGCACATGGCGGGCAGCTGCAGAGACAGAGTGTCTCTTTGGGAGACGTGCGGCAGGAGGGCTTGACTGACGACAAGAAGATTCATCACCTGCATGCGGTGGACAAGGCAATGGCAGAGCTTGTGAACGTGCTACAGTGGCTTGGTCGGACTGGTGTAGTCTTTTTGTCTTTTTGCTTTCTCTGCGTGCATGAAGGCATTTTATTGGTATTTGTGTATCATATTTCGTACTTCAGTTTGTCAAGCATAAAGCACGGGTGCTCGCAAGCGGCCATTGTACATTGTCGTGTGGCAGCAATTTGAGGAGCGAGGGCTGGACTGTCCAAAGTGCAATGCAAGTGTTTGACATGTGACAGGGTGGCTGATACAGTGCATGACAGCGCCGGCCGTGTGCTGTTCAAATTGTTCCGAGAACACTGGCATCCAGCTTTGCATTGAGGCTGTCTGTGAATCAACTCGGCTGCGGCATGTTGAGCCGAACGCATTCCATTCTGCACGAGACTGGTTTGGCGCCGGAGCATGCGCCAGAGCCCACAGAGCACGAAGCCAGTTTCTCCCTGCATCTAACTTGAGCCATCAGCAAATGAGTCCGGGCTAGAATTCTCGCGAAATGATATGGTGTCTGCTGAGGCTATTGGTTGGGAGCCTTGGCATCCACTGGGCTCGGCCGGTCGTATTGTAGCGTGCAATCACACAGCTTAAGTTGGAAGCTAGCATGGCCAGGCAGCAGCTTGCCCACTCCCCTTCTGTATGACATGTTGGGATCGTGTTCTTCCGGCCACCGCTTAACGATGCATCAGCTGAATGGCAGCAAGGGTGGACAACATGGTACTGGGAGGGTTGGGGAGTCGAGTTTTAATTTGATTCCTTGTGCTCGATGTGCTAGATCAGGATGTATCACCGTCTTGCCATTTTGAGCACAGTGCAGCATTTTGCCATCGTGTACTCAGCACGTCCCCTCATGCACAGTCTTCCGAAATCTACATGCCAAGGAGTTTTGGGTCAGAAGAAATTGATGGTTATGCTCTGTTTGGGACCCGTCAGAGGGACTTTGGAGCTGCAGCCTTATGATGAAGATGCTGAAGCACACGAAATCCCCACAGTACCAGGAGCGCTTTCATTTTTAAGTGAGTTGTCCTTTCGAAATGCTGTATGCGTTGCACAACTGCAGCTGGGCTAGTTTTGGAGGAAGCTTTATCATTCTTCGAGCTGATGGCATGTGGCACCGGCACTGCGCGCACTCGAAAGCACATATTCTGAGCTGCTTCCTAGTTGGGCAGGAGGGTGGCAAACGGGCACAGGGGTCACCGAGTTGGGTGCCTCCGTGTGCACGGAGCTTGGAGCAGTGGACAGTGGAGCGAATGAGATATTTGAAAGAGGTTCAGGCCAAGGCGCCAAGAGAGAAGCTCGACTTGCCTGCTGGCTGGCTGACAGCCATGAACCACATGTTTCATACCGCTCAGCGCGTGGCCGTAAGATCCATTGCTGGCAGATATGCTAGCTCTTGGGATGTGCAAGCCTGGTACATGTCTCAGACCTCGGGTCCGGATTTTGTTTCGGAAGTGCCGCTGACGAGATGGGACGTAGACCTGTACTACGATGCAGATGTGGCTTCGAAGAAATTCTGCTTCTGAAGCCTTCTGGGTTGGGGGCAGCCTGTGCTTGCTCCAGGCATGTAAGCTTGCTCAAAAACGAGTGATGCCTTGGTCAGGTAGAAAGCTGGCGGACAATGAAAACTCATTCCAGACACGGATCCTTCGTGGACGGGACAGAGTTTTTCGATAACAAGTTCTTTGGTTTGTCGCCAATGGAAGCAAAGGCAGGCATGACTTTGCAAGGATGTTGTGCTGCTGGGAACGGAAAGACAGCGGGCATGTGAAGATGCAGCTGCCTTGTCAGGGGATGGATCCCCATCAACGGGTTGTCCTCGAAGTGGGATACGAGGCCCTGCATGGGGCCGGATACACCAAGGGCAAGATGATGAATAAGATCGGTTTTCTCCTGAGTGTGCATGCATGACATGCGGGTCAGCTTCATGATGACATACGTCTGGATGTGTAAGGTGGCGTCTACCTTGGAAGCAGCATGCACCTTGCCTTGTTTGGAAGGATTCTTGGAAAGTGCGGAAGTTTGATTACATACTGTACTTGCTTGGGGATGCACCGCACAATCAAGGACTATTTTCGGCATGGTGTCAGAGGTCAGTGGAGCAACTGGTGCCGCTGCAAGTATCAACTCAAATCGCTTCAGCTTCTGCTACCTGTCGCAAGATAATGCTCACCTGACAAGGGCTGTGCAGGCGTCGCTTGTAGTAAATGACTTATGGCTTGCAGCGTTCACGTGATCACCCTCGATGCAGTGAGATGCGTTGCAAAGTGCTGCGCTGCGTAGCATCTAAACCCTGTCCGGGACGAATACCTGATGTGACTGTGCACCATCCGCTGACAGCCAAACACAAGCACGTCACCACCTCGTGTTTTCTCTCAGGCTTGGGCCTGAAGGGCCCGAGCATGACCTGCGACACTGATGGGTCATCATCGCTGACAGCAGTCCACCTTGGTGGTGAAGCAGTTCTTCAGAAGGGCCATGGCGTGAGTAACGAGACGCTTGACTGCATGTAAAGCCTTGGTCAGTCCAGAAATCGCAAGGAAGCGAGCTGAGCAGATAACTGCAGAAGCAGTCAGAAGTGCAAGCGCCAAGAGACATTTCAGCTAATGGGGCCTCATGGCAGAGGCCACAACCGACAACTGACCACCCTGTGCTGAGCATGCAGAAGCTGCTGGCTTGAGCATCAATTTGTGCTGTATGGTGAGGTTTTCCCTGTCCGGGGGAGTTGCTTTTCAACTGGGGCCAACATGGTTGCCACAGATGCAAGCAGCAGGGCTGCTTGCAGGCGAGTGTCTCCGCTTTAATGCATACCCACGTGCCAAAGATGCCGTCAGCACAGTGCCTCCGACAGCTGCTGCATGGCAAGGGGTGCAAAACGTAGCTTCTTCCCTGCTTCAGGCATTGGCCGATGCTTCACCTGGGATGCGAGCGATGTCCTAAATTGTCATAACTTATCCGGCAACGGGCAAGCAGGCAGTTTCAAGGGGTAGATGAAAAATCTGGAATGCTAAGGTGCGCAAGGATACACGCTTGGAGACCTGTCTTAAATGATTGCAGCAAGAGCTACAGGGGGACAGGGCGCGGGCTTCCTTGTTCAGGTGATGGCTGTGGCTTCGCGGTGCAGAAGCGAATGGCTGACTGGGTGGATGGAAAGCAAGTGTACATCGAGGGTGAGCCCTTGGCATTGACCTAAGCTTTTGCTCGTCCTGGGACCAGGGCCATGCCGAGTGCCGTAGTGGATCTCAGGTCGGAAGCATATGCGGCAGCTCTTGTGGGAGCGTGGGTATGGCCGCTGCCATGCATGCACCGCACGGGCCATCTGAGCAGGAGAACGTTGCCCAAGCGCTACAGACCGAAGCTTGCACTGCATATCAGAAGTCCAACTTACTCAGCTAATGCCAGCGGGTGTGAGCAAAATGGTTGCAACCTCACAGCTTCCAGTTGAGTTGTACATGCCAGGCAATGCTAGATGCAGTCAACATTGATGCCGTGGAATGCAACGGCCAGGGTGCGCTGCTGCGCTTCTTGCCGGCACCTCTTGCACCCCCCCGCATGTGGAAGCTGCATGCTCAATTGCTGTCCTTCCAGACTGCCAGAAGCCAACGGCCGTTTCACGCGACTCCAGGTGATGCTGTGGAAGTGGACTCGTTGTTGCGAGTGCTGCGCGGTGACGACATGCAGGCCATGGGGGCGGGTCACGCATGTTATGTAGTCCTCTCCTAGACTGCCTTGACGCTCAACAGCGGCGCTCGCATGAAGCATTGACAGCAATCGTCAGGAAGCCTTGGCACACCACATGTGAAGACTCTTTAGCAGGCTCCTCTTTCCCTGACGGCGGTGAAGACTCGTCTTGGCTATGCAACGGAGTGTGCCGGCATCGTTGCGTTGCATCGTTTGATGCTGTCTGCCGTTTGGGGCGTCATGGCACCAAACAATCACTTGCAGCAACTGAATCCTCATTTGGAGTTCGAGAACAAGGCTGCGATGCTCACAGCGCCTTGGTAGACTTCAACTGCAACAGAAGTGCAAAGTTATCGACAAAGGCATGTGCAACGTCTGGTTCTGAGCCTGATAAGGAACCGCTCGAAACAGCACTGCGCAGCACCTACATGGGCGTGTCGGCGCATGGCTTTGGTGGAACGCAGGTCCATGTCATCTCGTATGGCCACAATGAGCAGATAAGGACCCAGCATTGGATCGTCTAAGACCCAAAAGATCCCTTCCTTGTGACTGGTCAGGACCGTCCCTCAACCCGAGCACAATCGCAACGTCTTCAATTTTTGGCCTGGTGGCGGAGGTGAGCTCGAAGAGGAGACCCATTTGTTGATTGCATGTTAGTTGGAGCTGGTTTGCACTGTTTGTATTCTTTCTCCAAACCTCTGCATGTCATGCGGTAGACTTTAGAGCATGGCATGCACGCTGCGTCCAGCAAGGACTAGGTAGGGTTTTGCCCTTTTTACAAAGCCGCACCCAGCAAGGAGTAGGTCGGGTTTTCCGCTTGTTACAACTGTGGGATGCGCATGCTCCACGAGTGCTGCTAGCAAAATTTGAAACGACACTTACTTGCATGCTAAGAGGGGGTGCTCAGCAGTTGGAGAAGCTCTGCAAGGTTTAGGCGCTACTTCGAATTTTGGGGCATCAAGGCGGGAAGACCTACAATCTAATGGTTTATTGGGCATGGGACAAGGTATATGCCATTATATGCTGTTGCTAAACTTGCAGCCGCTTCAGCCTTGAACCTTTCGCGAAAACCCGAAACCCCAGGGGCCAAAGAGTGGACGCGCGCGTTCCTAACTTTTTGCGCTCGAAAGAACCCACCTCAGCTATAAATCGTTTGTCGAGAGGTTTTTTAGAGCAGGGGCTCAAGATTGGTATCGTAAACTTTGAAGAAGCGCTTGAGCTATGGATGGCTTGTGACAAACTGAAATTCGAAAGATACAAAGCTTCCACACAGCCCTGGTAAGCGCGACTACGATGCTGGAGATAAGCACATCATCTAAGGCACGGGTCTCAGCATGCGAAAGAGTCCCGCATTGCAATATCACAGCAAAAAAACATCTGCTGAGGTTGCGGCATGTCAAGCAGCCATGGTTAAGAATGCTTAGGCCGCATAGGGTTATTCGCAGGAGCAGCAGCCACTGCGCGGCTACTTCATTGCAGGGACTTGGACGAAGTGGAGACCCATCAAGATGGAAAGTGAAGGACGAGAGCTTTAGCATGTTGAGTTACAAAAATCTGAGCATGCTTTGGTGATCTGGCAGGCGATGAGACTTATGGGTACACACTGGTACTTGGAGAGAATCGCTGGGAGGAGCCCATGCCTTACTGTTGCCTGTTTGGTGTGGCCTGGCTATGCTCCCCTTTGCCGGCAGAAGCCTTCATTGAAAGTAAGCAATGGTTACTTGTGCCTAGCTCGTCCAGCCCTGTGAATGCAAGCTGGCTTTCTGCATCTTGATTCTTGCATTTTGCGCACATTGCGCAAGGGACGGTAAGTGAATATAATGGAATTCCATGGCATGCCTGCAAGCCGCGTTTGGATTGGGTGTTCAGGCATCACATGCCAACTTGGTAGAGTGTGAGCAGCCAAAGGGGAATTAGCTAGAATTCCTTTTGGAAAAGTTTTGCTGCGGGTGCCGTGGTGCTCGTGTGTGTTTGGTACAGGCACCTTCTGCCTCAACACAGAGCATCCGCAGGGTAATACCGTCGTGAGGGATCACAGAGTCAAGAGCTTTTCTTCCTGAGTAGGCTGTCTGCCCAACCCAAGCGACCCTGCTTGGGTGGCAGGCACAATGACACGGGGATTGAAGGGCCTTTGATGGAGCAAGCAGAGCGCAGGGAAGGATGGGAGGAAACGCCTGAGCAACGGCCTAGTCTCAACTGGAATTCGCAGGTAAGGCATGAGTTTGGGCCTTACTCATAGCAGTACTGCAAAGTCTTGAGTTCTAAGCCTGCTGTCTCTGGCTGTCTGGCAAGTTGTCGAACTATCCCCCGTGTTTTGCATCTACAGCACAGCACCTTGAAGACGTGTAGTTGTCTGGTGCTGAGCGTCAGGTTCCAGATCCTTCTTGATGGTGCCCTGGCAGAGGGTTTTCAATAGATTCCAATAGATTGGTCTATCACTGAAGCTCGTTTCAGGAGTGCCTTTGAAGTTTCTCTCTACCCGAGGTGATGAACGAAGGCACTTTGGCTTCCTGAATTTGGGGATGCCAGAGCAGAGCATAAGCGTACTTCCTGTGCACGCATGAGCTGTGCTTCAAGGCGGCTTCATCCAGCATTGCCGCAAGCTTCAAAAGGTTTGGCTGTTCGTGGGCCATCCGCGAAGGCGCGCTGACCGCTAACGTGAGCTAAACTTGTTGCTGGACTCCAGAGAGCCGAGTGTCTTGCTACCTTCTGAGTCTGACGGGAGACAACACGGGATGGAGACGTCATGAGCTTTCTGCAGCTTGGTTTGTCATGCTGGAGGCCCGTGGCCTGAACTGGAGAATAGAAGGTGCTCGCCTTGGGAGATTCAGTCAGTATGCGAGCTATGGAATGACAATCTTGCAAAGGTTCCTCAAGGCGAATCGTAGCAGAGTCGGGTCAGGAAGTCTTTGCTGAGGCCGTGGTCGATGGGTAGACGTGCCCACAGATGCTGCTGAAGCAATTGCGCTGGGCGATTCCGAGAAGACTTCCCGAGCCATTCTGGCAACTCGGCGCTGTGGAGGTTTTTCAGCTTCCTTCTTTGTTACGAAATTGGTAGGGGGCGTATGTCTCCTCTCCACATGTATACTGCGAGTCAAAGTCAATGATCTTCTCACGGAGAAGGGCGGCGCGGCAAGGGCGGCGCGGCAGTACTCATGAAGCGTCAGATGCGCAGGGCAAAAGCAAGGGGTCGGAAATGGCAGGCCGCAACGAAGGCTTTCAACTGGCAGGCGGGCACCGGAGCAAGATGAGGTTCAATCCGCATCCCCAAAAGGCCGTAATTCCACATGTGGACACGACAGCTCCCGGCAGCTGGAGCAGTAATGCTTGGAAGGCGATACTAGTCGAAAAGAGTTTGATCACCACTCGGTAGCAGGAAGCTAGAAAGTATCAGGTTGCTCCATGGCACCGGATCAGCTGTCAGTGCGTCGTTCCACATAGGCAGAGAGAGCTGGCGTAAGTAGACGAAAGCCGCGGCTGTCATGGACAACAACCTTGTCTTGCAGATGTGCGTGCCGAACGTGAAATCAAAGTTGCCTTGCTTGGTAAGGCTATCAGCAAGAGCCTGGATGATGGGTTCCTGGCCCAGGGGTTTAGCAAGTCGCTGCGTGCAGGCTGTGTTGCGGATAGCTTACGACTGGTTTGGTCAAGGTTTCAACCATCCGGCGAGCTTAAGTTGATGGAAGTTGGCAGTGGTGATGTTGGCATGCCCGGCGACAAGTACCGTATTCGACTGCGGATCGCGGGGAAGTACCGACTCTTGCCTTACGGAGAGAACAAACCAAACTTTCTCTGTGGTGAGGTGGCGCTTCTTCCCTGCCAGGAACTGTGCTGTGGGACAAGCTGCCCAAAGAAGACTACGATGCAGCAGTAGACGCACCGGAAGGTGCCAAGCTGAGTGGACGCGATGCATCTCAAACAAGTACATGTCAACAGGCACAAGTAATCATGTTGAGGCGATTACTACATCGTTGGAAGCTGGAACGGCTGGTCCCCTGACCCTCTGTTCCTTCGAAATGAGGTTTGGTCTGCCGAGGCTCTCCGGATTGTGCAAGCATCCCACACGAACCAGACTAGCTGAAGTCTTCTGACGAGACCACATGAGATCAATCATTCAAGCCGGACCTGTGTCAATGACATTCAACACAAGACCTCTACAAGAAACCCTTTCCACAGAGTTTTCACAAGGGCCAGAGGCGCAAAAACTTGAGTAGGAGTCGTGTTGCTGCTCGGCCCGAGTGCTGCCTGTATGATTCTGTATCTGTACGATTCTCAATTGGTTGCACCTTCAGGTTGTCCGTTTGCCTGGAAAGTTTGGGTAAGGATCTTATGTCAAAGACCATCCACCCTGCGGTTTTTAATGACAGTGCAGCATAGCGGAGCTATAAGTTTGATTTGTGATACTTGTGTTGACATCTGTTTTAATCTCTTTATTGACAAACCCTTGCTGTGACTGACAGGTTGAATTGTCAAAGCCAGGGGGAGAGTTCCAGATCCTGCGGAATGAGGACCTCAAATTGGAGTTAAAAATGGAGATGCTGTCTGACTGGTTGATTGCATCGCTGAACTGATGACCGGTATGCTTCATGTTGCTCGTCGGTGGCAGGACTGGGGACAAATGATAGCCCCACAGCGAGAAAAAGCCACCCATGAAGATGCTGGTCAAGGCTGCCAAAGTAGGACCTGAATGCTCGTTGGCAAACTTGGAGCTGGTCCAGGACCGGATCGCTGCGGCCGGTTTCGAGGTTGTGCCTGGTGTTTAGATGGGCAACCTGGAGACGTTTTCCGGATCTCGTCTCTGCCTCACTCATGAGAATAATTCAGAATGATTGAAGCGGTGAGTGTTGTCCCTTCCGAGGTTCAAGAGACAGCTAGTGAAGGACTCGTCAGGCACTTCTGCTGCATCAGAGCGGATGCTGCTGCAGAGCATGCAGCCATGCATGTCTTACACAATCACTTTCCAATCAGGAAAGCTGGAAGACGTGAAGCACGTGTCTTGGGAGAAGGTGCGGGAGGCTCGCCTTGAAATGTGCCACTGCGCCAGCATTGGCAGAGCGCTCAACTGGTTGGAGGCTAGCCCATCAGGGACACTCGCCCTGAAACATCCAAGTGCCCTCGGCGTTATTGGATCATGGCACCGTGCTCAGCTGTGAGCTATGCATGTTAATTCAGCGACACACATTGTTGGGGGTGACCCTGCAGGAATGGATTTGGCAGAATCCACAAGATGCACGTTGAGTCAATGGGCGATGAAGTTGCAGCTTGGCGTGATGGACATACTCGTGGTTAACGCGGAGCTGAGCTGATGTGCAGACGGGAGAGGCGAGGAGGTAGTGATGGGTGGCCATGGACGTGAACTTATGACTTGTGACGCATCAGCCGATTGCCCTTCATAACTTCTTACGATCATTGGTTTGAATTGAGCCGGCTCCAACCAATCATCGCCCCACGAATCCAAAACAACCGGCATCAGCCATCATTTACTCTCTCAGTGTGGCTTGAGCCTGCAGTAGAGGTGGACAAAGGGGTGGGGGATCAATCACGCAGCAGAAAATCAGACTGGAACGCAGAGCGGTGCGGCTTAGTCCTGTTTCTGCTTCTAGTCTGGCACAGGACCACATTTTCATCTGCAATGGGGCAAGTAGCTTGTGAGCGCACTAAGGCCTACGTCTTTTATGTCGAGGTTGGCCAGACCGGTGCGGAAGGTTTTCAGTTCGTGAATGATTCCGATTTCTCAAGAACCTGGGCTGCAGCGAGCTGAAGACTCCCTCAGCTTGAAAAAGTTGTTCTGTGATGGACTCTGGGCTATTTATAGCATAGAGCCTTGCCAGGAGTCATCCATCCTGACCGATTAGTGGCGCAGCCAGGCCAACAAACTGCTCTAAACTGGAGGGCAGTAAGCCCTGTCAGCATGCTCAAGTAACGCACGCATCCTCGTGCACAAGGTGAGCAGACAGAGCACCAGGATATGTGCTAACAGCATTGTTAAGTGTACTTGATTCAGCTTGTTGAAGCCCAACGCTTTGTAGAGTCGCGCAAAAGCATAGGAACGAAGCAGCGCGTTGAACACATCCACATCCCACCTTGAATCACTTGCAAGTTGATGCAGCATATCCTCCCACAGCTTTTGAGATGGCTTCGTTTTTAGCCATCATCAACATCATCAACCATCACCATGCAGCAGGCTTGTCATCACAAGCACCACTGTCAGCAAAGCAAATAACCGCCATATCAACTCTCATTTGTCCCGGGCACATGCCCTCATTTTGATGACGTGCCTTGTAATCCTTGTGCAGGCGCCAGTATGGAAGATCAGATATCAACTGTTACAAAACGTAGCTCCAATACACGGTCTTTATCTCCTAATATCCTCAACCCCAGACCCGAAAATCGAGCCCTTTTGCTCAGTAGTGGGCGATGCCGAAGTCCGCCCAGGGATTCTCTGCAGCTGTGCCGCCAAAAGACCGCGTTGGGAGTTTTTTGGTGTCCTGGGCGAGCTTTTACCACGGTCATCCCAGTGATATGCCGCCATCATTCTCCCCATCATAATTCTCTTGAAGATGGTTACGTCAGCTTCATAAGCCTCCCACGGTTGGATGGTGTAGGTGCTTGGAGTTTCAAACTTCGTAAACGATTTTCTGAAAGAATCCTAATGCAAGCTTTCCCAAAAAGACAGAAAAATAGGCTAAAAGCACGACCAGATAGAGCAGCTGAGGCAACAAACAGCAACAGCAACAAGCAACAAGCACCAAGCAGCAGCAGCAGCAGCAGCAACAACAACAACAACAAGAACAACACTGCAACACCCAGTGACCATCGCGGCCAGGTTGGATTCACAACCAATACAAACATGAGACTTGGCGGTGCTGCTTTTTGGCGCGCATAGATTACACCGTCACCAATACCGCCAAAACCCTTTGTTGCAACACTGCTGTGGCATGTTCGTGCAGGGGTGCTGTCCATAGAGACATGATTGCTGCCTTTCAGCCTGGCCTATGCAGGTGCGGCACACAGAACAATCGTATCTTCATTTGGTCACATCGACCAAGACAGAGCGCCCAGCTTGGGCAAAATCAATTCAGAAGCAGGAACATGCGGGCATTTTCGTGTGCATGCGCATTTCACTCGGAGGTTTGGGCGGTCGGCTTAGATGGTGGCTCCCATGGGGACGTTTTCAAAGTTGACGTCGTGGCGGTCAGCCACTCGTGCCATACGACTCAGCAAGCTTGATGGACATGATTTTTTTCATGTTGCTGCGTTTACCCGCAGCAGAACTGTTGCATTGGCTACCCTGCACGTGTGTCATTTCAGCAGTCCCGAGTCTTTGCACTGAGGAGATGCTGTTACACGTGTTACCTGGAGTGCAGTGGGCGATGCTGCTATACCGAAAGATCGCGAGATATGCGGTCCTTTGTAGTGTAGGGTGTGATGGGTTGATTCCATCCACCTTCATTGTACAGCAAACTGTTATGTCGCTTTGCAGCATCGTGCTGGGGCCAGTGGCTGGCCTTTGCAGTGCTTCTTCCTGCCAGTCGATTGCCGCAAATTGCGCTGCTTGCAAAAGGGTCTAGAGTCTGCATGCAAGGGTGGCTGTTGCATGGCTCATGAAGTTGCATCGCTGGGATGCCAGCTTTTGGTTTATCGGGATGTGCGTTCGCAGCAGGGGGAGGCTCAGCAGGGAGACGGCAAAGGGTTGCATTGGCTCCCAGCAGCCTTGGGCGAGACTGACCTGGCTTTTCAGCAGCTGTGTAACTCTACTGGCCTGTTTTGCAGTAGACCGTATACTTCAAGGAACGTATGCTTCAAGGACAGTATTTCGGCTCTTGACCAGGATCCTGGCTGGTGCGCGTTTGTGGGCATGTTTATTGTTGAGAGCTATGGGTATTTCCCTACCATGGTATGGAGTTACTTCCCCTTCCCAGAGCTTCTGACTGCACTAAAGTTGTGACTCTCGAAGATGTACTGGTATTTCAGGGAGAGTGGATCCTTACATTCTTCCACGGACGCAGATGCCCTGTGATTCTCCCCCGTTCTCTCAGGCACCAGAAGCTAAAGGAATGAGAACGAGCCCCACCTAGTAGCCAAGTTCAGTACCTAAAGCGCCATACGTTGGCACTTGGGCTGTGCAAAGGGACAATTCGAGCACCCTGCCTGTAACCAGACTTGCCTACAGCTCAACAGCAACTATCCCCTAATTCGCAGTTATAACCCATCAAATTATCAGCTTAAAGCACTACGTGCTTCCAGTATCCATTTCATATTTCATTTGATTTTCCGATCCCCATAAAAACTGCTACACTTGTGAGCCGCGGTTTGCTTGCCAGGCCGAACTGGCGTTTCCATATCGCCGTGCAGAGATTGGCACGGCATGAAAAGGGGTTTCGATGCCTATGGGCCTGCAGGAGGTGCACCGTGCTGCAGCCAGGACACACTATGTCAACAAGCAACCCTATTGCCTCTACTGTCAGTGAAAGTGGGTTTTGATGCGTTTGTTCGAGAGGCGCTCCTAAGACTATGCGCGCTGGCCCAATCGTGGCACTGAAGATGCTCGTGTCCCCCAAGGAAGCCGGCACCTTGATCGGGAAAGGCTGGTTGGTGGAGTCACGACTGAAGCAGGCACATCCTTTCCTGCCCACATCTGCCCGCGTTTTGGCAGGCGGCGCAACGCAAAGACAGATCTCGGAAATCACGGGGTGCAACCTTCATCTCAGCGGCATGAATGAGCTCTACCCAGGAACTCAGATGCAGGAGGTCGCTTGTCATCCCTGTCAGTACCGCTGAACGGCATTCCTGAATGAGTTCCGCCGCGCAATCTGCAGGTCTGTATAAAAGCCGACTACCCTGATGCCGTGGCAAATGGAGTGCTGCAAATCCTGGCGAAGCTGTCAGAAGAGACGGGCAAGGTGATGGGTGGTGAGTGGGAGGTTGAAGATGGCGGTGCCAGAGTATCTTGCTAAAAACTAAAGTGGGTTAAGGGTTAAAGCGAAGTCTGGATTGAAGCAGAGCTGCCGCACACAGAAGCTAATTTGATCTTCTGCATGCCCCTTGTGTAGCTTTCTAGACCGAACATCGTTTCCAGAGTTCCGGAGCGAGGACAACCGGAGAACCAACAACAATCGTCAAACCGTGTCCCCAGCAAAGTCTGCTCTTGCCCTGTTGACGGTCAAGTATGCTACAGCCTGCTTACTTCAAGATATTTGGTGATGGCACCTGAATCTCTCGACCTGCGGGTCAGAGTCTGCTCTAAGCAAGAGTTGAGGCATCTTCTAAAGTTGGCAGCCCAAGGTCCATTTCATTGTTCCCACGAGTGCTGCCAGAAATGTCATTGGAAAAGGCAGGGACAACATGAGACTTCTTCACGTTCTTTTCGAGTGCTCTTTTGCCTGGCTTTCTTGTCGCATCTGCTTCTTCGGAGGTGGAGAGAATATCAAGGCCTTGCGCCAGGCCTCTGCCATGAAGGCCTCTGCTCTTCTGCTCTGTTGTTTGCATTTAAATTCAGCTTGTGAACTTGACATAGCTTCACAGCAAACAAGGTTACTTCGATCAAAAGGAATTCGCCACACACCGCGCTCTCTCTGCAGAGGTGCATGTCGAAGAAATGGTCCTTGGCAACGGCGATGCTGCGGAGCAAGTCGTTTCTCTTGCTGGCCCGCTCATGAACATGCAGACTGCGCTGCCTATGATTTTGGAGAAGGTGGCGCAGCAGCATTCAGTCGTGAGGTGTGGCCTCGTCACCAATTCTTAGATAGTCTTAGATGATGAAGAAGTGACTTAGAAAAAGCATTCTGGGCATGCTGTGCGCTTGCCTGTAGAGCTGAGCAAGTTTTGCTGAGGCATGGGGAGACGGTCCATTTGTAGACCGTTTCTCCTAGCGTAATTGTTGTGCCTGACCAGGATTGAGAGTGAGAGACACTTTAGGCGTGAGCTTTGACACTTGCCTCAGTGCTTCTGACGCTTTTTGATGTGTCGACGGCATTCAACAATTGCGCATTTGGTTCTGTAAACTTTTCGTGTACGCATCGCAGCTGCGCAAAAGCCTCATGTCAATCTCAATTTGCTTTAACTTGTATGGACACAAGGGGATGGTGCTGGCAGGTTGCGGAGCTTTCTACGCAGCCATGGTTTGGCAACTGGGCCTTTAGCTGTCTGGCTGCAGGAGGAGACCTGTCTGGGAAAGGCAAGGGTGATGGAGGACGGAAAGGGCTGAAATGCTTCAAAGCTGCCTTACTTTGCCGATGGCTTACTTGAAGTTTCACCCAACCGCTCTCACAAGACCCATGCAGGCAAAGCGAAGGGCATGGACACAGGCTACGGAGGCTGCAACTACAAGGGTGGGCCCACGGGTGGCTTCAACGGTTACAAGGGCGGAGGCGGCGGGGGCGGCGGAGGTTGTGGCTTCGCTGATGGCTACCAGAAGGGCAAGAGCAAGAGGGACGGCTCTGACGGCTTCAGCTCAGGCAAAGGTGGCAGAGATTATCCTTCACATGGAACTGGAGCAGCCGCGACGCAGGAGAATATTGACATGCTGTCAACTGCTGTTTCAGCGATGCCCCCAAGCTTGGCAAATTCAAACGACAGATCGCAAGTGCTCCAATTCAACTGTCCGGCTGCTTATGTCAGTGCGCTTATTGGCAAGGCAGGCATGGGCACGAAGCACATAGCAGTAACAACAGACACAAAGATAATGATCAGAGAGATCGATGGCAACCAAGCCGAAAAGACCGTGGTCATCAAGGGCAACGCTGTCAATGTGGCCTCCGCAGCTTAGCCTGACAGTTAGTTTTCGGGTAGGGTATTATTTTTCCCTATTTTTTTGGTTTATTGTTCCCTATTTTTTTGGTTTTAGTTCTCAGGGGGTCGGACAGAATGCGAGAAAGAAAGAAAGACAGACAGAAGGAAAGTAAGTAAGAAAGAAAGAAAGACATAGACAAAGAGAAAGAGAGAAGAAAGAGAGAGAGAGAGGCAGCAAGAAAGAAAGAAAGAAAGACGGAAAGAGAGAAGA